AAGCAGAGACATTAGGCCCGCCGCTAACCCCACTGAACGACAAAGAATTCCGATTGTTGGTATTATTAATGGATAGAATAGTCGCAGGAAGACTACTTGTTAAAGATGAGATGGTTGATGGAAGATTGCCAATTAGTGTGAATGTTGGCTGCTGGGAAATAAGTACAGGAGTAGAAGGAGGCTGTTGCGACGCCTGAGTTGATGAAGGCTGTGCAGTCTGCGACAGAGATATAGAAATAGGTGATGAGAAACTCGCTGACGATACCGTAGTTGTGTGAAAATTGTTTTGGTAGGAACTGATACCAGAACACCGAAGTATGTTGACACATTGCGCAGAATTGTGAGCCTGATTGTTCGAAAAACCAGAGGGCTCAGGCTGAGAGGACACAGACGTGACAGGTTCCGTCGATGGACTGACCGCTTTAGGTGAACACAATGAACTGCTGAGAAAGGCAGGAGCAAACATGTTCTGAGAAATTGAAACAGAGGCATCGCCAATCGACCCATTCAGTGCGAGAGAGGTCGGCGATGATATGGAATTCGAACTAGGGCATGAGCTAGTTACAACGACACATGGTGCTGCGTCAGGTAGCGAACAAGCAGCATGGGAAGGAGTTGTGCTAATTGTAGCCGAACTGGCAGTCGACTTCTCTACGACTGTGCTTTTTTGGACGTGTACGGATGAGTCAAAAGCCGTATTCGTTGGCGAAAATTGGATTACCCTTGCTGAGCTAGAAACTGAAGGCTCAGGCGTGATTGAAGTCAATACCGTTGGATAAACATTTTCCAAATCTTGTTTGTTAATCATACAACCCAAGGAGGGATCTTCTGACGACTCATTTGACTGCGCACATGGAATTGGGTGTACGTGTGACGGAGCTCGCTGGGGACAAACGGGCAGGTTCCCACAGGAGGTACGAACGTGCTTCGTTGCTGAAAAAGTGTGGTTACTATTATCCACATCAGAGCCCTGGTTCTCTCCAGTGATGATGCTCAGAGAAACATTATGCAATTCAGGAGAGTGAGGGGAAACACTACAGAGACGAAGAGACTGAGGATGCAAAAGTCCGTTTGCGTCGGGCACCAAGACAGCTGAACAGTCGTGTCTTACATTCAGATTGGTCGGACACAATATTCTACAAGAATCTGTTCCGTTAAGGAGACGTGGCTTCTTGGCATCTCTTCTAGAATCTGTTTGCTCGTCTCCACTTCCATCTAGTGATACCGATTCATCTTGCCGAACATTTTTACAATTATGCTGTAGAATCTGCCGACGAGGTTTACTAGATTTTCTCCTGTCGCGACGGTCTTGGCCTCCACATTCCATTGTATTAATAGTCAGACCGGTCCCAAGGGTATCTTCATTGGGAAAAACTGAAGAAGACGTAAGATAAATGCAAAATAACTTACCACTTTCAACAGTTGGAGGTGTAGAAACACATCTTAAATTTACTGAAAGAGGCGCTAGAAGAGGCGGAGACTCCGCTGGTTCTGATCGGCTTTCCATAAGATCCGTAGGAGAAAGCAGTTCGGACGATTGCTCAAGAAATGAAATGTTATCTTTTGAGATAGCAGTGGAATGACTACATTCGTTAGAATGGATAATCTTTGGCCCATGCGCGTCGTCAGCATTGTAGGAAAAATTGATTTTCACGAATTTCTCTTGCCTTCCATCAACAGTATACGAAATAATTCCCATGACGTCCAGCTTATCGGAAAATGAAACTCTTTCTTCAAAAAGGTGACGAAGTTGAGACTTCAGCAAATTATCCAGAAGGCCGTCTTCGCTCCCCATAATTATACTGAAACGGAATGCCGCACCGCGAGAATTAGCAGCGCAAACGATAATTCGCGCTTAACCTTCAAACGAACTTCTGTTACGTGTTTGATAGGATAAAACAAAACAAGGGACAATGAATGAATATGAATGAATAAATTAATGCGTTCCATTTTTGTTAAAAAGGCTAGTCTGTTTCATCGAGGAGATAAATAAAGTACGCAGTAAGTATGTATCATGACGCCATTTCTAAAAAAAAAACGTTAACTATACCTGATTTGGGGATGCGTCTGGAAGGAGTCGCAAGAGGTAAATCATCGCGTGTTACGATTGCGCACAGATTTTAGATTAACCATTGCTATCAACTTTATTATTGAAAAATGTCCTTTGATGTTCATTTTATTAAACATAAAGGATAACTTTCCGCGTTTCACTTCCGTAATAAAAAATAAGCAATGTTCCGTGCCCCATGAACATTTCTTTTTCCGCACATTGTCTACCATACAGCGACCTGACTGTATAACACGTAGATATATATTCATGCCTATCATGAAATCGACCTTCAGCGATGAGGTTTTGAGATCTACCCAGGGAGTGGTACGGAAACCTGACCGTCCCACGGTGTTGAATATACCTGATCCCTATCAACAGGACAACAAATTCGTGGCTTGATGCTAACACGTTGCACGTTTTACTGTCCAATGTTCACGGAGCCCGGATTCGCAGGAAAAATCATTCAAACCAGGCGTTAGGCATGGCTGACAGATGGTCCGTAATAATTTATAAGAAGTCACCTTACTGTTCTTTGACTCTGTCGATACTAAATCAACACGTACCTTTAGAATGGCATTTCACTGGTGAAGATGGTCGAAAAATTCGTCAATCGGAAAGTGGACATGAAACAGGAGAAGAATTTACAAAAAAACATTCTGTATGGAATGTCTTAAGAATTTACAATCAATAATAAATAACTGCATAACTTGGAGAAGTCTGCCGATAAAGCACCTACAAGCAGGTAAAATTGTCTGCGACTTTTTGTATACAACACTCAGATGCTTCAGTTTTCGCAAAATCCGGTCCCATTTGGTCTTACCGTACACATGTACCGATCTTTATCTAAATTTCAGTTTCATAAAAGTGCGTACGCTATAACAGAAAACCGTAGGAAATAAAATTAACCAGTATGGAAACCATGCTCTTTGAAGCATCTGTAGAGGCTATATCACTACAAATATAAAAAAACGTCTTAGCAAATAGGCAA